ACCAGCTCGCCAGAGGGCTTTTCCAACGCGTTGAGATGTTGGTGGCGCCAGGGTGGACGTTGGGTTTTCTTCCCGCCCGGGTGAGGACGGGACCTTCTGCGCTTCTTGCTTTGCGGCTCAGGGAGAGGAGCTGGTGGCCTGGGGAGAGGTCCTGCCCCAGCAGCCTGGCTTGGGGTGGGATCAGCCCTCAGGTGGGGATGAAGGTGGATCCATAAATCCCTGGGATGGGGTTTGGGGGCTTTGGTAGAGGTTTTTGTTGAGGGCAGAGACCTCTGAGTGTCACCACAGAGCTGGGATGGAGAGTTAGAGGGTGGGATGAGACGGGGTGAGGTGGGGTGGGGTAGGATGGGATAGGCTAGGGTGGCATGAAGTGGAGAGGGATGGGATGGGCTGGGATAAGATGGGGTGGGATGGGATAAGATGGGATGAGATGGGGTGGGATGAGATGGGGTGGGATGGGATGGGATGAGGTGGGGTGGGGTGGGATAGGATGGGATAGGCTAGGGTGTCATGAAGTGGAGAGGGATGAGATGGGATGGGGTGGGATAAGATGGGGTGGGGTGGGATGAGATGGGATGGGATAAGATGGGATGGGGTGGGATGGGGTGGGATGAGATGGGGTGGGATGGGATGGGATGAGGTGGGGTGGGGTGGGATAGGATGGGATAGGCTAGGGTGTCATGAAGTGGAGAGGGATGAGATGGGATGGGGTGGGATAAGATGGGGTGGGGTGGGATGAGATGGGATGGGATAAGATGGGATGGGGTGGGATGGGGTGGGATGAGATGGGGTGGGATGGGATGGGATGAGGTGGGGTGAGATGGGGTGGGATGGCAGGGCAGGGAAGGAGATGGAGGTGAAGATGGACATGTAGATGAAAGTGGAGAAGGAGGTGGGAATAGAAACGGGGATGGAAATGGGGGTCGAGCAAGATGGATGGGGATGGGACAGGAAAAGAATGGATGGGAGAAGATGGGGATGGGAATAGGAAAGCAACAGGATGTGATGGAACAGGATGGGTGGGAATTGCAATGGGATGGGATGACATGGCATGGAGAGAGGAAAGAACAGGGATGGGATAGAATGAAGTGGGATGGGACAGAACCAGGGGTGGGACTGGGATGAAGATGGTGACGGGGATGGGGCGAGAATGGGGTGAGATGAGGAGGGGGGTGGGATGGGAAGGTACAGGAGGGGATGGGAGGGGGTTGGGTGAGTGGGCAGGGAGGGGCTGGGCCAGCTGGTGGGTCTGGCCTTGCAGGTTGCCTACGACACAGGTGACTACTACCACTCCATCCCCTGGCTGGAGGAGGCCGCCAGCCTCTTCCGCCTCTCCTATGGCAGCTGGAACCCTGAGGACAGGAGCAGCCTGGAGGATGCTCTGGACCATCTTGCCTTCTCCTACTTCATGGTACAGCCACCAGTCCTGTCCCCATCACCCTGGTGCCCAGTGGAGCCAAATTTGGGGCAGGCAGATGCTCACGAGCTCTCCAACCCTGCCCCCATCCAGGCTGGAAATGTGTCCCACGCCTTGAGTCTCTCCAGGGAGTTTCTCCACTATGGTAGGTGGGGCAAGCTTGGGTGTGGCAGGAGAAGGAAAGAGGTTTTGGGGGGTGCCCCCATCACCTCTGCGTGGCACCAGCCTCCTTCACCCCATTCCTTGCCCCAACGCGGGGTTGGTTCTCCAGGGACGTCGGCCAGGGAAAGGTGGGGGCGGTGATGGGGACGCGGCGTTTGGGGTGACACCCCCGTCTCTGGCAGACCCCAGCAACCAACGGGTGGTGAGGAACGTGGCCAAGTACAAGAAGCTGCTGGAGATGGGGAAGGTGGTGAGCACGGAACCCCTGAGGCGCCCCAACAGCACCCGCCTGCGGAACCGCGACGCCTACGAGGAGCTGTGCCAGCGCCCGGGGGGGCAGGTGGGGCTGCCAGGACCCTGCCCTGGCCCCCCCACCCCACCACTGTCCCCTCTCTCACCTCCTCCATGGTCCTCTCTCTCTGTCCTCAGCAGGCCCTGGAGCATCTCCCACACTTGAGCTGCTCCTACGAGACCAACGGCAGCCCCTACCTCCTCCTCCAGCCTGTGAAGAAGGAGGTGGTTCAGCTCCAACCCTACGTGGCTTTGTACCATGATTTCGTCAGTGATGCTGAGGCTGAGACCATCAAGGGGTTGGCAGGGCCATGGGTGAGCTGTCTCCATGCCCAGGGAGGTCCCTTCCCTGGATGAGGGTGTCCCAAGAGCCAATGGTCCAGGGTGGACCACCCTGAGCAAGCAGATAGGAGGGGGTTTAAGCCAGAAGAGTTGGGGTGTTGAGCCTGGAGAAGAGAAGGCTCCAGGGAGACCTGAGAGCAGCTTCCAGTGCCTGAAGGGGCTCCAGGAAAGCTGGGGAGGGGCTTGGGACAAGGGCAGGGAGGGATGGGAGCAGGGGGAAGGGTTTCCAGCTGGCAGAGGGAGCTGGAGCTGAGATGGGAGGGAGAAATTCTGGGCTGTGAGGGTGGGGAGAGCCTGGCCCAGGTTGGCCAGAGAAGCTGTGGCTGCCCCATCCCTGGGGGTGTTGAAGGGCAGGTTGGATGGGGCTTGGGGCAGCCTGGGCTGCTGGGAGGTGTCCCTGCCCATGCAGGGGTGTTGGAACCTGATGATCTTGAAGGTCCCTTCCAACCCAAACCATTCCATGATTCCATGTGCCCTCTCTCCAGCTGCAGAGATCCGTGGTGGCCTCCGGGGAGAAGCAGCAGAAAGCCGAGTACCGGATAAGCAAGAGGTAGGAACCCCCTCATCCCTTGTCCTCCAGCCAGGAGGACCACCCTGACCCCAGTGCTGGGTCCTTCACCCCCCAGCAGTGCCACGTGTGGCTTTGGGAAGAGGGGGGGGAGGTCTGAAGGTGGGGTGCTCCCACAGTGCCTGGCTGAAGGACACTGCCCACCCCGTGGTGCAGGGGCTGGAGCGGCGCGGAGCCGCCCTCACCGGCCTGGACCTGAGACCCCCCTATGCCGAGTACCTGCAGGTGGTCAACTATGGGTTGGGAGGACACTATGAGCCACACTTCGACCATGCCACGGTCAGGGAGCTCCTTGGATGGTCGTGGGATGGGTCCAAGGGGTGGTGGTGCCCGGGGTGTGGAGTGTTGTGCTCTTGGGGATGGTCCAAGGGGGACGGGTGATCCTTGGGATGGTCTCTGGGATGTCCTTGGAAATGGTCTTTGGGGTGTGGGGTTTTTTTTGGGATAGTCTCTTGGCTCATCCCCCAGTTTGTGGGCCCTGGGGTGGTCTCTGTGGTGATCCCTGAGATGGTGTCCAAGGAGGAGGGGGTGCCCCTGCACGGGTCCTTGGGGTGGTTCCCAGGGTGATGTCTGGGATGGTCCATCAGCTGTCCCTGGAAGTGGACCCTGGGATGAAACCCATGATGGTCCTGGGATGGTTACCTGGGGGGGGGGGAGGTCCCTGCATGGCCCCCTGGGGTTGGCCTCATGGTGATGATCCCTGGGATGGTGCTTGGGATGTTCCTGGGAAGGGAGGAAGGAAAGAGGGAAGGGAGGAAGGAAAGAGGGAAGGAAGGAGGAAAGAAGGGAAAAGGAGAGGTTTCCCTGGGAGCAGCTCAGAGCCAGCAGCTCAGTATGGGCGTGAGGTGCCTCCAGGATGAGCCATGTCAGCCCATGACCATCCCCATCTCCTCTCTCTTGGGGCAGTCCAGGAAGAGCCCCCTTTACAGAATGAAGTCAGGCAACAGGATCGCCACCCTCATGATCTACGTGAGTCCCCCCATTCCCAGGCTGCCCCTGCAGGGCCATCAGTAGGGTTCAGAGTGAACGGGGTCAGAGATGGGTGAGGGCAGCCTAACTCAGGCTGTGGTGGGTGTTCAATGGCAGCAGCTACAGAGTAGTTCAGAGCTTGTGCCGTGCTGCAGTGGGAGGTTGTGTGCCTCAGTTTCCCCACGCAAAGCAGCCACACCACGGGGGAAGGGGAAGGGCCACAGATGATATTTTTGCTCCTTTTCCAGCTGAGCAAGGTGGAGGCCGGAGGCTCCACTGCCTTCATCCATGCCAACTTCAGTGTGCCCGTGGTTAAGGTGAGGGGGACCCCCTCGGAGCCCCCCAGGGGCAGGGAAGGAGGGACGCTGCTCTCTCATGTCATGTATCTCACAACCTGTCCCAAATCCCAAACCTAGGGCTCCCCAGTCTTCTTTTGGGGGTGTCAAACTGCCACCCTGGGGCTCTTGGCTCCCTTTGAGGGGTGCCAAACCCCAACCCTTTGGGCTGTAAGTGCTGTTTGGGGGTGCCAAACCCCAATCCTTGGGCCTTCAGCTCTGTTTTGGGGTGCAAATTGGGGTGCCAAACCCCAACCCTTGGGCTTTCAGCTTTGTTTTGGGGTGCCAAACCCCAACCCTTGGGCTCTAAGTGCTGTTTGGGGGTGCCAAACCCCAATCCTTGGGCCTTCAGCTCTGTTTTGGGGTGCAAATTGGGGTGCCAAACCCCAACCCTTGGGCTTTCAGCTTTGTTTTGGGGTGCCAAACCCCAACCCTTGGGCTCTAAGTGCTGTTTGGGGGTGCCAAACCCCAATCCTTGGGCCTTCAGCTCTGTTTTGGGGTGCAAATTGGGGTGCCAAACCCCAGCCCGTGGGCTTTCAGCTCCGTTTTGGGGTGCCAAAAAAAACAACCTCGGGGATCCCAGTTCTATTTGGGGTGTCAAAGCCCCAACCTGAGGGCTCCCAGCTCTGTTTTGGGGTGTCAAAATTCAACCCTGGGGCTCCCATTTGTGTTTTGGGGTACCAAAAACCAATCTCAGGGATCCCAGCTCTATTTTGAGGTGCCCAAACCCCAATCCCAGATCTCCCCGTTCTGTTCCAGGGGTGTCACACCTCATCCCTTGGGTTCCTGGCAGTTTTGGGGTGCCAACCCCAATCCTGGGGGTCTTGGCTCTGTTTAAGGGTGCCAAACCCAACCCCAGCTCTCCTAGCTCTGTTTTTGGGGTGTCACACCCCAGGGAATCCCAGCTCTGTCTTGAGGTTCCAACCCCCAATTCTGGGGCTCCTGACTCAGTTTTTGGGGTGTCAAACTCCAACCTGTGGGCTCTCAACTTTGCTTTGTGGTGACAAACCCCAATTTTGGGTGCCTGGCTCTGGTTTTGGGGTGCCAAAACCCCAAACCCAAGACCCCCAGCTTTGTTTTTGGGGTCTCAGATCCCCAAGTCCTGGGGCTCCTGCCTGTTTTTGGGGTGCAAATACTCCAAGCCCCGATTTGTTTTGGGGTGCCACACCCCAATTCTGGGGCTCCTGGCTCCGTTTTTGGGGTGCCAAACCCTTCTCTGCTCCTAGAATGCAGCTCTTTTCTGGTGGAACCTGCGGAGGAACGGGGATGGTGACGGGGACACCCTTCATGCTGGCTGCCCAGTCCTGGCTGGGGACAAGTGGGGTGAGAGACCATGTTTGGTGTCACCCTAGGGGGGTGACACAGGGTTGGAGGGGACAGCTCTGCTGGTGGGGAGGTGGGAGGGGCTGGGAATCCAGGGAAAACCTGGATAATAGGGGTTAAAAACATCACCCATAGCAGAGTGGGGACAGAGAGGGGTGCAGGGGGACAGAGGCAGATGGGGGGGGGTCCTTGTCCTTGTCCCTTCCAGTGGCAAATAAGTGGATCCACGAGCATGGGCAGGAGTTTCGGAGGCCGTGCAGCACTGACCCACAAGACTGAGCCACCATGGGCTTAAGGATGTGGCACCCACAGGTGACAAAGCCACCCAAGGAGCTGCAGCAAGAGGAGGGAGGGAAGGGGATGGCAGTGGGACAAGGTGCTGCTGGGGACAGTGGCACTTGCTCAGCTGTGGCTGAATCCCTGGTGAAAATAAAGTCAAAAGAGACAAAAATGAGTCTGCAGGAAACACCTCGATGTGGTGCCTGGTGGGATGATGTGTGGAGGGGTTTGTTTGTGCCCTCCCATCCCTGTCTCCAGCACGGACCCTAAACACACCCTCAAGCCCCTTCCCTCAGCCCTAGATGTAAAGCCTCTCTGCTAGAAGGGCTGGGAGGCAGGGACAGGGCATTTCCCAGCCATCAGTAGGTTTCAGAGTGAACAGCCCAGCACAAAACCCACTTGCTGCCCTCCCTCCAATAAACCTGCTGCAGTGCCTGCCTGCACTTGGGGCTGATTGTGTAGCCCCTCACCCTGCTCTGCCCCCCAAAACAACCCGGGGGCCCCTTCCCTGCACCCCAGAGGGGGTATTTTGTGCCCCTGCCTTCCAGCCCGGGCGCTCCCCCCGCGCTCCTGCCGGCGCCGCTCCCCAGGGCTCGGGACAAGCTCCTGTTCTCTGGCCCGAC